ATGGAAACAAACCTGGTCTTTTGAAAACAGTAGGTCTGGGCACCAGTTCACCTATGAGTCAAAGGTGCTGAGGTTTGGGGTCACCAGCCTGTCACCCAGGTGTCCTGCGCTCTCCCCGGGCAGGTGGGGCCTGAGGAAGGCGTTCCCCCCTGTTGAGGACCCAGCACCTGCCGGCTACTTCACACACAGTCCCTTCTAATACAGTCTCAGAGGGAAGCTTCTTTTTATTAAGATGAAGGTAGAGGCTTAGAGCTGTTAGGGAGTGGCTCCAGGTCACATCATTGTAAGAGGAAATGAAGTACTGGGACCAGGGGTTTGACTTCAAAGCCCTTGATCTTCCTCAACACGTAGCTTCCCGGACGGTGGGCGGGGGGTGACTAAGAACCCAGGGAGAGGGTTCTGTGGGAAGAGGCCTGGGGGGACGATGCTCTCTCCAGACCTGGAATCCGCCTCACTCGGCTGCTGCATCAGGGACTGACCAGCTGGAGGGAAGCACGGGTTCTAGACTGTTCTTTGTGGGAATAGATGGAGACCAACCACACGAGAAAGGCAACGGCTGTTTATTCAGAGTTTAGGGTTTGGCAGGGACCCCAAGGCAGGCAGAGGGGTGGGAGAGCTTCCTAGTGGAGAAAGAGGGGGCCCGGGGTCCTGATGGGGCTGGGCAGCTACAGAAGGGGACATCACAGGTGGCTGGTTGGGGAGCAGGGTTGGCTTTCTCAGGTTGGCACTGAGTTGGAAGTGGGGCAGAGTTAGGGGCGCTGTCAGGTACTGATCCAGTCCTGGCTGATGGTCACGAGTTATTGCTCAGCCTCCTGGATTGTCACTAGACAGCAGCTGACTTCCTGCAGGTCGGACACCACAGGCTGGGTCCTGGGCTGGCTGCCGCAGGTCGGGGGCCATGGCTGTGTCTTTACAGGACGGTTGGGTGTTGTCTGTCCGTATAGTCCGTCTCTTGTCTTTCTCTCCTTGGTAAGCATAGTAACTGACAAGGTAGATGTGCTGGGAATTCCTTAGATGCTCTGTGTCCCCTGGAAGAAGCTTTCAGACCGACGTTAATCAGAGTGACTGTGAGCTGTTGGACCATCAGCCTCAAAGACTTAAACCAGGCCAGTTCCCACAGCATTTCCCCGGCGTCGGTACCTTTCAGCCATCGCGAAGAAGATGCTTTGTCCATTGCTGGCTCTCTGTCATCGGCTGTGGTTGGTCCAAGTCCCTGCACAGCCCGTCTTTTGTGCATTTCGTGGTTTGCTACCTCGCTTGTCCCGCAGGCGGTGAAGTGTATCGTGGCCACCTTGGTGGTACTGCGGTGTCGACTGTGGATTTGCCAGCTGGAAGCTCTCAGTCTCCTAGGCCAGCCCCTGATCGGATAGACGAACTGAGATGCAAAGCCCGGTACGATCAGTGCTTCTCCCGCCTCAGGCGATGGTGTGAGGGTGAGGTGTGGTCTGAAAGGAAATCTTGCGGTAACTGGCTTTGATTTTCTCTGCTTCTGCCTCTTGTTATCATAGAAACTTAAATTGGCCTTTGTGTGTTACCATACATGTAGGAAATATTGATTTGTTTACATACAGGGTACCTTTTTTTCCTACTCATTCAGCTGCTGTTTCAGCATGGTTTGAAGGTCATATTTAGGGACAGAATTGTGTCCCCCCTCCCGCCAGGGCCGGTTCCCCTGTTCATGTCTGCACAATTGCATCTTGTCAGTGAATAGCTGCGTCACTCCTTTGCTCCTCTCCAGTCTGTTTGAGCGTCTGGATTAAGTCATGCCTGGCACCCTGCTTTCACTCCACGTCTATACAGGCCCGTGGTTTTCCACTGCGAAGAGGAAGTGCCGGCTCCTGGGCTTGGCGCTTGGGGCCTTCGTGATTGGGGTGCAGCCCACTAGTTTGGGTTTCTTTCTTTCCATTCCTGTTGTCAACTTTACACGAGACGGGTTCCTTACGCCCTTTCTGGAGCCAGTCGAAGAGCTGGCTTAGAATTTGAACTTTCCCGTGTGCACATGCTCTCTCTCCACCGCAATGCCATCGCCCCGCTGCCCCTTCAGCTCGGATCCACCCCTCCAGGCTGGAGTGCACCCTCTCAGTGACCCCTCCTGGACACCCCGGGAGCGCTGCACCTTTATTCTTCGTTTAATGAACACGGCGACCCTGGGAGTCAGGGGTGACTAGTTGCCTATGTCCTTTATCACTGGGTTAGAACATTTAGCCGATGTTTTGAATGTAATATAAGCGATGGAACAACATTGAAAAGGCCCTGGAGAAGGAAGCCCCACTCCCTTCACTGCTCTCCGTCCTGTGACCACTGTCGCCTGTTTCTTCGGAATCTTTCCACAGCATCCAGGGCAGGCCGACCCTGCGGGCAGTGTGCCTTCTTCTTCAACACACAGGGGCAGGCAGATGGAAGGTTACTCCCACTGGCTTCCTGTCACGCGGTCTTAGGTTGTTCCAGTCTTTTGGAGTGAGGAGCAGTGCTGCGTTGTACGTAATGCGTGCAGCTCTGCATGAACGTGTCCATGGCGTGGCCTTGAGGCGGACTATTGGACACAGGCGTGCACACTTCATGCTTTGTCCGTGCAGCTCTGCATGAACGTGTCCATGGCGTGGCCTTGAGGCGGACTATTGGACACAGGCGTGCACACTTCATGCTTTGTCCGTGCAGCTCTGCATGAACGTGTCCATGGCGTGGCCTTGAGGCGGACTATTGGACACAGGCGTGCACACTTCATGCTTTGTCCGTGCAGCTCTGCATGAGTGTGTCCATGGCGTGGCTCCTGGAGGCGGGCTGTTGGACACAGGCGTGCACACTGGGTGGGAATGCTGGACTCCTTTCATCAGGTGGACCGGTGGACCCTCCCTGTCGGTGGGGAGAGGGCCTGTGTGCTACAGCCTTGCCCACACAGTGTGCTCTGAAATGTTGTTCTGTGCCAGTCACACAGACAGGTGAAAAAATTGCTCCTGTTGTAAAGAATAGGAACCAAAGCTCAGAGAGATGAGGTGGTCATTTGCCTGGTCTCACAGGTTGAGCTACAGCCTGAATTTAGTCTTCTCATTTCCAAGGCTGTTTTCTTTGGAGGCAAGCTGGTATGGAATATACGTTACCTTTGACAAGTTAATAGTGATGTACTACTCCCGTCCTCTCCGGGTCGTAAGCCGTTCTGTGTGTGCAGAGAGGGATTTTGAGATTTAGAGAACGTTTTGCTGCGGGTCTAGGACATTCCTGGAAAGGCAGGGAGGTTTCTCTGCTTTTTAACCCTAAAACCTGACTTTTTAAAACCTTTTGCTACAGTTTCTACAGGGGAAGCCCAGGCCTTTGCCTTTCAAGACTGCAGTTCTCTGTGAGGAAAGGGGAGGGGGGCGTGTTATGAGGCCCTTTTTAATGTGAGCGAGTCCGCTGAGTTCGGTTTATTGTATCTTCTATGTGAGTTAGGAGATTGAGGAAGCCAGTAGAGAGCCAGGCTGCTGCTTAGCTGATGAAACCGTCTTCCCTGCTTTCCTTCGCCCGTCACAGTGACAGCATGGCCTCTGCCTCTGAAGCCACTGGGCTCGGCCGCCCTTCAGAGAGGGCGCTCCTGTGGGCGTCGACACCACATGTCGTCCAGAAAGGTTGTGCGTGGACATGCGGGCCTTGTCGGGCTTCCCAGACAGGAGAATTGAAGAGCACAGTTCCTGTGTGAGCTGTGTGTGTATAGATGTGCATTTACTTCTGACGCTGGGATCAGACACATTCCTCAGAGCCTCGTATTCCAATATAAGGCGTTTCGCCTTCACACCGAGAGCGTGTGTGCGCCCACTCCCCTGACAGCTCTGCCACTGGCTGTGGGCCCGCTTTGAATGTGCAGCCTTCACCTTTCTGTTGGGTGGGTTTCGTTTGGGTCCTGGGGCCAGCGATGAGCTGTGTGACTCCCCGTCCTCTGTCCACAGACTCTTTCTGACGGGCGATCTGAATAGCTCGTTGGGCTTTACTGTTTTCCCAGCAGCGTGAGCTCAGGCCCGGGCCGAGCAGCCCCCTGAGAAGTCACTCATCTTCTCGTCGTGCATATGTTCAAGGCCAGCAAAGCACGAGTGGTTTTTATGGGGCTGCATACCAGCATCCTGCGGGAGCCAGGGCCCTGGCTCTGCCCGCTGCCAGCACAGCTAGTGGAGTCACCAGGCAGGCCAGGCCCGACTGGCCAAGTGGGACAGTGGCTGGTCTGTTTCCTGAGCGGCCTTCCAGCCGTTATCCACGGACTGCCCTCTGCACCGTGCCCAGCATGGTGGGAATGCCAAGCTCACCCAGGCACATCCATAACCACTAGCAGCGGTTCTCAACCTGTGGGTTGCGAACAATGAAAATACATCCTGCATATCAGATATTTACATTACGATTCATAACAGTAGCAACATTACAGTTATGAAGTAGCAACGAAAATAATTTTATGGTTGGGGGTCACCACAACATGAGGAACTGTATGATAGGGTTGTAGCATTAGGAAGGTTGAGAACCACTGCCTAGGGCAGTGATGGCGAACCTATGACACACGTGTCAGAGGTGACATGCGAACTCATTTTTTTCGTTGGTTTTTCTTTGTTAAATGGCATTTAAATATATAAAATAAATATCAAAAATATAAGTCTTTGTTTTACTATGGTTGCAAATATCAAAAAATTTCTATATGTGACACGGCACCAAAGAGAGTTAAGTTAGGGTTTTTCAAAATGCTGACACGCCAAGCTCAAAAGGTTCGCCATCACTGGCCTAGGGTATCGTGTCCAAATGCAGATGCAGGAGGAAGCTGGCGGCACTGGGCCGGTGGACAGACGGGAGGAGCTGTGGTGCCGATCCCGCTGAGTGGGGGTGTGATGTGAGGAAGGCACCGGCAGGAAGGCACGAGGGAGCCCAGGAATCAGCCGTGGAGCCTTGGATTCCGACCCGAGAAAAGATGGGGGTGGTGTTCTGTGCGCGCCCAGCTGCACCTGCCACTCAGGTCATTCAGGTTTATCTCCTGTCCGACCTCCCTGACCACCTGCTCATTTCTGCAGAAACGTGGCCGTGGAGTCTTCGAAGCTCTTCACTAGGAGAGTAGATGCTCACTGAGGACCACCCAGTCGCACCGGAGACAAAACGCAGGTGAGTCTCTTTCTCACTGCCTTTGCGTAACCACGACGAGTTTTGGGTGCATTTGCTTCCAGGTCTTTCCAGTGCACTGATAAATACACATGTGCCGTTTGCGGATGTTTTTAAAATGAAATAATGAGTGCTTGTCCGCTGTTCCCGCACTCCCCGCCCCAGCAGTCCGCTCGGCCCGTCTTGCGCTGCAGGAGACCTAGTGGGCGTGCGGCCCTGGACGCAGAGTAATGGCAGGAGTGCTCGCACGTGTGCACGGCGCACCCACCAGTGATGGTCCTGCCTGCTGGGCTCCGGACACGAGTGGGTCTTAGAGTTTTCACCCCAGACCTGTGGGTGAACACTGTTACTTTAACAGGTTACAAACGATAAAACTGGTAGAGAGAAGCTAAGCCATTTCCTCAAGCTCATGGCCTTATTTCCAAGACAGAGAACACATTTAAAAAACTCTGGTTCAGTTCAAGTTATTCACATCCACTCGTCTCAAGACACATCTCTTTAGTGCGTTCTGTGTCGCGCTGTCGCAGGAGCTTTTCCTGGGAGCATGTGTGGGGTGGGGTGAAGGGGGGCGGTCTGTAGGCACGGGGGCGGCCACAGAGGGGGTCTCCCCATAGCCCTCGGGACAACCATTTTCTCTGCCGTCTGGCCCAGGTCCCGTTCTTGTACACACACTTTCCAGAGGGACTTGGTTTTGGGTTCCGTGGCGGCTCGCCTGAGACTGAGCGACTGTATTTCACGCTGCTGGGTTGCGGCCTGGCAGGTCAGCAGGGACGCCCCTCGGGTTGGCCTGCGGTCACCCCCAGTCCTGTGGGGGGGTCCTGCAGTGATGGGCCTGCCACAGCAGGGCGTCTCATAGTAGGTGGGTCTGGTGCTGGTTTGGATGGATTCTGGTGGATTTCCTGCTGTGCCCACGTGGGAGGGAATTTCCACTGGCCTCTGGGTCTGTGGGGGACTCAGGACTTAGAGCAGGGCCTGGCGTCTGCAGGTCGAGATGCATGTTATGCAAGTGCGGTCATGTGCCGGGGGAGGGTAGCAGGGGGTGGGCTGTTCGGGAGGGTCCGTCGCTGGGCTGTGAGTCTGCAGCCCAGTGTTGGCCGCGCACGCGCTGGGTGCTGCTACGTGCTCTCTTGGCAAGTTTCCATTGGGTGTCTGTGGGACAGAAAGCATGACATCAGCGTTGGCCACCAAGTATTTATAGCAGCGGCGCCTCCCATGTGGGTCACTGTCTGTGCTGTGGTTCTCGGGAAATTGTAGCTCTCTCCCCGGAGCAGCGCCCATCCCAGGTGCTGTTCGTTCCTGCACACCTTCAGGGCTGGGTGCCAGCCAGAGGGGGCGCTGCCAGGGAGCGCCTCTGCCTGTGGTGTCTGCTGGCCCCTCGCCCCTCTGCCTCCCCTTCTCCCCCCCCCCCCCCCCCCCCCC